TACAATGCTATCACTCCCATGATGTTTGGTATTGAAAATGGGATATATCGATCCCATATATAGGAAAATTTTTAATCAAATCGGCTGTAATTTGAAATGTTGAGTTTCCATGTTGACGTTTTTTTTTTCAACTAAAACCTACAATTTAATATTTTGAATTCTCATTCGGTATCAAATCTTTCTATCAAAAAATATCAACATTGATTAACATTTCGTATTAGCTCCATATAACGGCCCCTCTCAATTTCGTTATTTTGAAAAGTTTGGGTACGTTTAAGGGAACCCTTATGTATTAAGGGAACATTCTCGGTGTCTCGGCGAAAATCTCAAGAACTCTAGAAGATATAGCCGATTTATTGTGTCATGATAAAACCAATCGATGAAGAAAATCCTTATTTTTATACCCTACACAACTATTTTGTCAGGGTATTATGGCTTTGTGCAGCCCTAAAAGTCTGTAACGCCGCGAAAAATTGGTCCTAGACCCACCTTACACCTAGACCCACCGTACACCGATCGTCATATCTCGTCTACTTGAGTCGATCTAGACATATGTGTCCGTCCGTCCGTCTGTCCATTATAATTTGTAAACACGATACAGGCCACAGTTATGAACCAATCTTCACGAAATTTTGCATGTAGGATGGGTTCTGCCCAATGAAGACCCCTATTGTTTTTTGGAAAATATCAGTTAATATTTAGTTGATGATGATGAATGGACCAAAAACTTTATTTTTGTCTGATTTTCTGGTCGCTCCAGAGGCCGCAATTATGGTCCAAATATAGCGTATTTTTGCATGGAGAAGGGGATCGGGACAAAGAATAAGCATGCTCTGTTTTGATAAAGATCGGTCAATATTTAGCGGATCAAATGGACATATATGGCATATATATTTACTCCTGAAGAACATAGACCCGAAAAAATGGTAGTATATCCAAGAGGAGTTGTTGGCTTTTAAATTCATAACAACTATATTGTCGTATGTATTCCGATATGAGAGTTACACTTAAATATTTACGTATTCAGATATTATTTAGTAACCCATTACCACATTGTAGGGCGGAAATATAGCGCTGATCGCTTTTAAAATTTCCATGAGTTTCCGGTTATGGTCAAGGACAACGCCTATAATTTGCGGTGATGATCTATATGCCACAATTATAAGCAGAATATTACACTGGAGAATGAATCTGGCCAACTAATTTGATGGGCTTTTGTAATGATCTGTCACTATTCAGCGGGTCAAGTCAACCAAGACCTTTCTGTGTAAAATGAAAAAAATTGGATATTATGAAATAAAAAATAATTCGAAATAGATGTCATGGCAAGAAATAGGAGCTATTGACCTCTAATCGGTTAAGAGGGTGCAAATATCGCGAAATATTGCCCATTCTTGGAATAAAGATCTGCAAAAAGTTAGAGTTCCGTGGTAGTTGTGTAGGGTTTCATGTGGTCGGCCCCGTCCGACTATACCGCTCCGCTCACTGGTTTAACTTAGTTTGGGGTCAAAAATACGAGAATTTCCAAAAAAAAAAGAAATTCAAAGGTCCGCCATTTTCTTAATTTTTGAGAGAAGTCAATAATCCTAGTTCATACGAGAGCCAGACATGTACTCTTTCTAACACCCTTGGAATTTCCGGATTCCGATGTTCAAGTGAGGAGTTAGGATGCCCGCCATCAAAAATAAGGACTTTTTTAATCACCAAAACCAACAACAAAACAACAACACGTTTCCACGATAGAGGGGAAACGATACGACTCTTTCTCGGCCAACGTCTGACACCTCAGCCCATTGTGTAAAGGCAATAGGGCTGCTACAGCAACAACAACAAAACAACAACCAAATTTTGCAAATTAGTTTTCTTCTTTTTTAAATCTTCAATTATATATGTGTAAAGTTACAAACCTTAACATGCATTGGTATTCATTTACCAGCCCAATGAAAATCTTGAAAATTTAAAATCGAGAATGGAGGAGGTCCCCTTAACTCTAACAAATCATTTTTTCGAAAAGAACTTACTTTAAGGTTTTCAAGATTTCCCTCAAATTATAAATATGCTCATAAAATAACTTATCGTTATCTTGAATCAATTTTTCAATTTTAAACATTTTCATCAATTTATTTTACTCAGAGGTATTAGCAAATATCTTTTGAAATATTGTGAAAATAGGTTTTATTTGATTATTTAGTTATATTCCAATTTATTGTATTTTAATTATATGGCTTAATTAAATTTTCCAACATTATTTATATTCGTTTAATATTTTCAATATTTCATTGTTAAACTGTGTAATAGAAAAGGCATGATACTGTGAGAATTAACCCAACTCCGAGAGATAGGGTGTTGTACTTGCAGAATTTTAAGGTAACATTTCTATTATTCCATGCATAATTTAATGCTATTGTTTGGCAAGAGAATGTTGCTCTCGCGAGTACAACATTTTTGTGGAGAATAGGTTAGGGTACTGTTAAACATGGCACACATAAAGAGAGCCAGAGAGCAATACTGTTAAACTGTTAACATACTCAAATGAGAGTATCAAATATCCTCACAGAGAACTTTTCCGTTTGAAGGAATCTGCAAAGCAACGAGAAAACGAGACATAGCATCACAACGAAAGCCCTGACTTCGTTTAGTGAGTTGAGTCCTTTGACAAGGCAGAGTATAGGCTCCACTACTCAGTGCCTAAAGCACTTTGATACTTAACGTTTGCACAGCATACTTCGGGCCGCTTAAAGAACACCAAACAATAGAAAATAAATTTCCCCAAAAAAAGGAATCACAGTTTAGAGTACACACAAAAAACAAAACAACAACAAAAAATCAAAGTAAAACAAAAAGATAAATAAAAAAGGGAGAAAACGTAAAACAAATAAAACACCCAGTGCCTGGACGAAAAAAAACAAATATGGAAAATATTTGTCTGTGTGAGTGAGTGCCTGCCCGAGTGCGTACGTCTGAGACTGTGTGTGTGTGTGTGAAACAAGTGAATGTAGATGTGCTGTGAAAAAAATGAATATGTTATAAATAAATTCTAAATATATATTTTTACTCCTTGTCTACCTTAGGATATGGAAAGTGAAATGAATTAGAGCAAGAAAGAAAAACATAAATAGCACGAAAAAAAAATTAATTGAAAATGGCAATTTCAAATAAAGTTGTAATAAGAAAAATCAAAAAACAATGCTCAGACTAAAAAATCACAAGACTATCAATTACAGACAACACCCATGTGGTCTGGCCACAAAACAAAATTCATGAAAACCAATTCAAATAAAAGAATAACAACTAAAACAACAGCAACAACAAAATTACAATAACAACAATAAAACAATGGTTGTGCGACGGTGAAATGTCATTGGTGTGCCAGATATTCCGGTGACAAAGTGTGAATAGCGAATTTTGTAAATGAGGATATAGACGGTTTAACTAAATTAATACACAGTGAAAGCTAACTCCCCCCAACTTATGTATTATTTTATCGACAAGCAAACCCGACAACAACAACAACTACAAAAGGCTGCAGCAACAACTACAAAAATCCTAACTAATACAACAACAACAACAAGAGCAACTAAATGTAAAACCTCCATTATTAATTAAAACAAATTGTAATAAATAATTGGCATTAGAATTGTTTGCCCAACCCACAAACACACACACACACCATTCCTCTGTGGTCGTTCCTCTCAACAAAACAATATCCAGGCTAAATGGAAATCCATTAAGAAAAAGAAGACGGAGCAGCATCCGAAGAATAAACAACAAACTTAATTCTCGAATAATTAAAACACAAAAAAGAAAGGAAGTTGTGAATGAAATCCATCCTTTCGTTAGTAACGCTTGATGACTTCAATAGAAATTTAGCAAAGAGAAGAAAAACAACAACAACTACAACAACAATTCTAAAAAGCATCACGTACACAACAAAACTCTTTCCATAAAACTCATACACACAAAAACAAACACACATACACCCAAACACATAGTAAAGCATACACAGTTGAATAACGAGGAGGAGCAGCAGCAACACACACATGTTGATGCTAATGCTTTGGGCAGGACCTTAGACAGCATTATAGACTTATTTATACAACTTACAAAATCATTGGACTGTGGCAGCTATAAAAATATCTCAATTAAGAGAGGAACACGGCAGCAGCAACTACAAAACACATGTCAAATAAGCGAATGAGGACATCACCAATAGCCATAAAAATAATTACATTGGCTGCATATGTGACCAGCAGCAGAAGAACTCCCGTCTAGATCTATTTATGAACGGACAAACGATTGTGAGTGTATATGTGTGTGTGCGCGCGTTATTAAGGATATTTAATTCCTTCACACAGCCAACAAAAATATCCTAAACCCTTCCAACTTCCAATCACATACACACAAGTTCACACACAAGCCACACACAAAGAGAGGCGAAGTGATAACAAAAACAAAACTACAACCCCACTCCCACTCCCCCCAAAAGGAAACCGATTCTAAAGTTAGTTAAAAAACCAAAATAAAATTCATAAAAAGAGGACCACAACAACAACAACGATGACAACGGTGATAAACAACTTAATGGAAACACAAGAACAACAACAACACCAACAACTGTAGCTGGTGTTTTAGAATTTCCAAAGCAGAACATATACGGAGAAGCAACATAGCAAAAAAAAAATAATCCACAAAACAACAACAACAAAAGGATATTCATAACATTCCAAAAACAAAACAAGTCTAGCAGCAATTGATAATTGCCAAAAAAAAATACACTCCCTTCCCCCCAAAAAAACACCCTTACAATACAAAAGGTGGACATATCACTAGACGGGGCAGCAGCAACAACAACAACAATAATTTGTAAATTATTAAACTCCTGCATTGCAGCTTTAATCATCGATTTACCGATCAGCAATCATCATATTCACCGTGAATTAAACTCCAATAGTTAGTAGCAGTTACCTAACGTCATTGTCATCACAACAAGTAGCACCATCCAACACCAACACCATCACAACTACCACCACCATGAGTGATTCAATGCTATATCAAACACTGCAAACATGTCTGCCCAAATCACGCCTCATAACCCTGTGGCTAGCCTTCAATTTGGCGATGTTAGTACAGGAGCCCAGGCCACAAGCGGCCACAGTACATGCAGCGTAAGTACTCAGTTTTTATTTCTATTTATATATATTGTTGTCTTAGATGTGCCCTTTTTATATATAAAGACGTGGGTTTATTAACATTTCTTGGATAAAATTTTTTTAATAACTTTTCATCATTCACAACATGCATTTTTCATAAAAGAAACATAAACAATAAATAACATCGACTATTCATATCGATTAGAAATGCCGATCAATGCAAAATTGTGGTATTATAGTACACAGTCTAATATTATAATTCTCAAGCCCCTAGCAAATGTTCATGCCAATGACACGAATGTACGTTCATTGATTATGCATTTAAAAACTATAAACTAAAACCCCATTTGAAATCGAAAATGTGTGGGGTCGTTAAAATATGTTTTCAATGATTTATTCAAACCGTGAATTTTTTAAAGATTCAATATTGTCATTATTGAAATATTGGCTTTTACTCCAAGTGGGTTTTTGGAAAAATCTGTTTTTTATACCCTTCACCACACTGTGGTATTATGTCTTTGTACATTTGTTTGTAACAATCAAAAGGAAACCAGATAGACACATGGTTTCTTTTGAGAATATGTATAGAATCATATTTTAAGGAACCCCCCCCCCTTTTTTTTGATTTTAATTTTTCAAGATTTTTAATGGGCTGGTAAATCCATACCAATGCTTGTTAAGGTTTGTAACTTTGCACATATATAATTGAAGATTTAAAAGAGAAGAAAAATAATTTACAAAAAATTTTTGTTATTGTTTTGTTGTTGTTTTTTGTAATTAAAGAAAAGTCCATATTTTTTATGGCGGGCATGATAACTCCTCAATGGAACATCGGAATCCGAAAATTCCAACGGTGTTAGAAAGATTACATGTCTGGCTCTCGTATGAACTAGGATTATTGACTTTGCTCTAAAATTAACAAAACTAAAAACCAAGTTAAAAAATAAGGCAGATCTTCACCGATTGGCTTTATCCTAGTTCATACGATAGCTATACTCTCACAGAGAAACGTGTACAAATTTTGAATCTATTGGGTTATTAGTTTTTGAGTTATCGTGCCCGTCATTCCCAAAAAAATGTTTAGAGAAAAACGCGTTTAAAGTTTGAGAAGCCCTTCAGCCGTCACTTGATGCTGACACAATAAATGGTCTATATCTTCAAGAGTTCTTGAGATTTTCACTAGAAATTTTGTAGAGACATTCATTAATTATTATTAGAATTATACCAAAAATTTAGACTCCGAGAATGGGGGGTCCCTTTAAGTCGATTTATGCATGTCCGTCCGTCTGTAGATGTTAAATTGTAAAGAAAGTACAGGTCGCATTTATGATCCGATTTGGGTGAAATTTGGCACAGTTCACTTATTTGGCCCAAGGACGAACCCTATTGAAACTGAAGAAAATCTGTTCAGATTTAGATATAGATCCCATATATAGGTGTGTCCGATTTTATGTAAATGGTGCACGAAAGCCCCTGTATATCTTTCGATTTGCACGAAATTTTGCATAGTATAATGAATTGTGTCTAGAATGATGAGTGGCAAGTTTCGAGAAAATCGTTTCAGATTTAGATATACCTCCTATATATATTTTCGTCCGATTTAATGTAAATGGGACACCAAAGCCCCTATAACTCTTTTGATTTGCACTAAATTTGGCAAGGTGTACTCAATTTAGTTTAAAATGACGTGTGTTAAGTTTCGAGAAAATCGGTTCAGATTTAGATATAGTTCCCATATATTTTTCTATCCGATTTTATGTATATGGTGCACCAAAGTCCCTATATATCTTTCGATTTGCACGAAATTTTGCATAGTATAATGAATTGTGTCTAGAATGATGTGTGTCAAGTTTCGTGAAAATCTGGTCAGATTTAGATATAGCTCCTATATATATTTTCGTCCGATTTAAGGTAAATGTGGCACCAAAGTTACTTCATACATTTCGATTTGCATAAAATTTCGCGCAGAGTTCTGAATTAGGTCCAGAATGATGTGTGCCAAGTTTCGTGAAAATCGGTTCAGATTTAGATTTAGCTCCTATATATTTTTTCGTCCGATTTAAGGTAAATTGGTCACCAAAGCCCCAATAAATCTTTTGATTTTCTCGAAATTTGGCACGGTGTACTCAATTGAGTCTAGAATGACGTGTGTTAAGATTCGAGAAAATCGGTTAAGATTTAGATATAGTTACCATACATAGTTCTGTCCGATTTTATGTATATGGTGCACCAAAGTCCCTATATATCATTCGATATGCGGGAAATTTTGCAGAGTGTACTCAATTGAGTTTAGAATGACGCGTGCCAAATTTCGAGAAAATCGGGTCAGATTTATATATAGCATCCATATATATTTTCGTCCGATTTAAGGTAAATGAAGCTCCAAAGACCCATGGGGTACTGAATTAGGTCCAGAATGATATGTGCTAAGTTTCGTGAAAATCGGTTCAGATTTTTGGATTTAGCTCCGATATATATTTTCGTCGTTCGTTCAATTTCATGTCAATGTTCCTTTGCGAAGGCGACGTCTGTTAGGATTCATATGTCGAATATACCCAAAGTGGTGAAGGGTAACATATAGTCGGCTCAGTCCGACTTTACTACATTCCTTACTGTTTTTTTATTGTAAGTTGCATTCATAAAATTTCACTCTGCTTTTGGAATTGGGTTCGAACCGTGGACATAACGAAAATTAAAATTCTGAAAAGACGTTATTTCCCCACTAGTGTCTCGGAATGTTATATTTGGACATTTAATGCTAAAATATAGTATCTTCGAATGGACCTAATGGAAATACCTATAAAGGGTACATTTATATCGGGTATCAGTTCCTTTGTATGGTGACTATATCCAAATATCGACCAATATTTATAATATTTGATAGAATAATTAGCCGCAGAACATAAAATGTGAAATTAGGGCCAAATATATTGAAACCTAAGACAGCAAATTTAAATTCACTATGGAAAGATTGGCCAACCAATGAGAATTTAATATGTTTAATTTGAAAATGTTTAATCGGACATGTCTGAAATCTTTACAAATATTTAACATTTGGAGGTACCGTCATATGGGGACCCTATCAGATCATGCACCGATATCGGTAATTTTTAGTATTGAAGATTTGCCGACCTATGACAATGAAACATTTGAAACGAACGTGTCTAAAATCCTTAAATATCTGCATATTGATAATTTTTGGTATGAAAATTTGACACCAAATTAGAAAATTAATATACATATCGCGTTTTTTTATATGGAGATTTTCTATGAAGCAAAAATCTCATGTTCCATATTGTTTGAAAACGTGCATAAACTAATCAGAATTCCGAAATGCGAGTGGTACTATTTACTATTACCAAAACTCCTATATATCCCATTTTAAATATCACATATCCAGGTAGCGTTATAATAAATATAGCGAGCCTTATATCCAAATACACTCAACAGTTTGCTCACTAAAATTCGCGATAATTAATCTATAATTTTTAAACTTCGATTAATTTCCACGAACGAAAAAAAATTATTGAAATACTCATTTCATTCAAACATTTATGTAAATTCCCAAAATATTCCAATTTACACATTATTTTGAGTCAACAATAACATTAATATATATTTTGTTTTTTTTTTCTCAAAAATGTTGATCTCAATGTTCTTTCAAAAACTATTACCGCCATTATCAAAAAATACATAAATCATTGTAATGAATATGAAGTAAATTATTCATAATTATTGGAGTTTGAAAACCCTTTTCCAATACTTAAATAAACTACGGTATTTAATTTATCATAGCAAGGCTGAATGTCCTTGCACTATAACTTCGTTTTACATTGAATAGTCTCAAAGAGAATGTACTCAACTAAATTTAACATTCCATAATTTATGGCAATTGAGAGAAGAAGGAAGGGAGGAAGGGGGAGAGAGAGAAAGAAAGAAACACACACAATAAATGAAAACATTTTGTGTTTTTTGCCTCGGCAACTACCAATTTGCCATTTTGTCATAGCAAGTTGTTGTTGTAATACATAGCTTTTTTTGAACTGACATTTCTAGCCAATTATGGCACACAACATTTTGTTGGTTGTTTCGTTGGCTGTGTAGATTTGTGCGTGCCTTGTTGATGGCCCAACTGTGCACCGGCGATAAGCAGTAAAACGAACAGCCAACAACCGCCAACAATTCATTTGAATTTGTCGTTTTGTTTGGTTCGCCGGCTTTGTAATCTAACAATTGTCAGTTTCTATGCTGGAATGTCATTAATAATAATCAACATTTTTTGTTTTGTTTAGATTTGTTTGGTCGTGTCTGCGCGGTAGTTGGCTAATTTGTCATTTCTAACAAACTAACACTTTTCAATATTTATAACGAAATGCTGGACAATCATTTTTTTTTTTATTTGGTATTTGGGCGGTTGTTAAGCCACAAGTAAATTTTGCGTATGCAATTAAGAATTTGTGACGTCTGGTTTGTTGATTACTATTATTATGTCGGATGTCAGAGGAATGGGGAATCCTAAAACAAGTTGACAGGTTATGATTAACAACAGTTTTGTACAAAAAATATGCCATGGTAATAATAGTGGATTTCAACCATGACACAAAAGGTGTTAGCGATGTCATATTAAGCGTATGGAAATTTACCTCAAAAAAAATAAATGCTGGAATTCACCCTCAATTAGACAAATGATTTGACTTAATTTATCGATTTCAAATAAAAAAATAACAATTAATGGGATTAATGTGATGTATAGATATACAGTATAAACTTGATAATCCGGACCTCGACAATCCGGATTATTCGGTAATCCGGACTGCATTTCACAACCCATTGCGTTTCCCATAATCCGAATTGATTGACCTATTTGACTCAAAAATCCGGATTGTAAAGATACGTTACTTTTTATTTTAAGAAAAAATCGTTGCAAATTTAATTGAAAATGGTACCTATTATATTCAAAGTTCATATTTTTGAAATGAATAATTTTCATTTTTAATAAAAACATAAAAATAATT